TAGATTGAAGACAACTACTTGACTTGGAGTTGATGGGAACACACTGTTCCCCAATAAAAAAATATTCTTTAAAAAAAAAGGTATAAAACACTTTAAAAGATATATCAGATAGACCAGCACAAACCGGTAGCTAACAAGTTAATACTTGTTGAATGAATACAAATATATAGCACAGTGATTATTAGTAATTTAAGCTGAATATGAACCAATTTGCATATCAAATGTCCCTTACTCATACATCCAGTCATTTCTGATATTCTCAGGCTTGGCACGACCATGTCTTAAAAATAATGGCAAGTCCATTCATAGCACTTACTGTGTCCCAGGCCTTGTTTATCTAGGTCATTTTGCTTCTATTATCTCACTTAACCCTGGCAACACCACTATAAAGACAGTGATATTATTCCCATTTTACTGATGAGAAAACCGATACCCAAAGTTAAGTAACTGCACACAGCTAGTAAACAGCTGAGCAGCGATCTGAACCCATCAATCTGGCACCAGAATCTGTCCTCTTGATTATCAGGCTATACTCTCATAAGGCAAATCACCGCAGAAGAACAAGCGCATAAACAATTACATCAATATATATGGTAATTTCTCATGTATAGATTTCTGTTTTAAATGCGTTTTCAAAGAAAAATATCACTGACAAAAAATTTGTTTTTCACAGAATGGCTATCAACCAACATCTTAGGGCAAGTTTACATTTCAGGTAACAGTTTCTGAAATGATGGCCTAAATAATGTTTGGAAATTCCCATTTCTGTTGTTCCTTGTTGGCAATGGCTCTTTCTCTCAGCCCCATCTGAATTTACTTGCCTCCCCTGGGCTTCTTTTCTTTCAAGACTTACTAAGAAGACACCTTCGGTGCAACCCTCAGGCTACCAAAGGGCTTACTGAACAAAGCCTGTGCTTCCTCTTTCTTCAGCCCCAATTAAACGCTTATTCATTATAATTTTTCCCTTCTAAATTATATTTTCAAAACAATGTGTTCTATCATCAAATATGACTGGTGTCCAGCATGTAAAAAACTCTCTTTTAGAAGTTAGCGTTAACGTCCAACTGTTTTTTAATAGACTTTCTACTATCTTCTGGTTTCTTTTTTCAGTCAATTATCACACATTTAAATAAATTAAATAAATAAAATTATTATACATTTAAAGGGTATTTTGATATCTCTTAGAGGGCAAGTCCCTCCCTTTTATGGTCTCAAAGAATTTTTTTGGGGGGGGTTCATATTTATCTTCCCTGATAGTTTTTATGATCAACTTGGGGTTGGGGTATTTATTGAAATGCACTGAATTTAGGTTAATTTGGGCACATTTGATATTGTTTCAATCCTGAGTTTTTTCACCCCAGGAACTTACTTAGCAAGCCTCTCCATTTATGCAAACTCTCATTTCCCACAATAAGGTTTCAGACTTTTCTTTTCATGGGTTTCACATGTCCCTTTTCAAATGTAAGATAAAAACATCTATTTTGACCACTTTAAATTCATTCTTTCTTTCCTCGTCCTCCCTCCTCATTCTTTCTTTCCTCGTCCTCCCTCCCCCTTCTTTCTTTCTTTTCCTTCTCTTGCCATCCCCAATAAACTGTAAACTCTTGCAGGATTAGGAATGGATTGCCCTTATAACTCCTAAGTGCCTAAAATAAAGCTATGGTTGCTAGGGAAAGAAATACTTGTAGAATAAATAAATGAATGAAAGGCTTGATTCATAAACTAGAAATGCAACAGGAAGAATCTGGGGGATATGCCAGGAAAAGATTCAAAAGAATTATAATTCCTTAGAAATGGATGATAAATTATGGCAGATTTGACAAGCTGTTTGATTTTTTTTTTATTTTATAACTATGACCTGGATATTAGACTAATTCTCCCAGTGCAGATTCACTCATAGATCCGGAGGAGATAAATATATGCTTCTGATTTCCTCAGGCATTGAGAAAAATGCCAAAGTTTTCCTGTGAGAGTTCCTGAAACACTATTTTCATTGAAAATCAAGGCTAATTGAAACTTTTACTTTAAAAAGGACGTCTGCTGCCTAAATGTCACAGATTTAACTGGTCTTTTACACAAGGAACAAGTTAAACTCAATTACTTACTCATCTTAGGGGTGGTGAAGGGGTTTTTGGGCGGAGTCCTCTGTCCATTTTGCCTACTTCATCCCCTCAGGCCTCATCTGTTGTCTAGAAAAAAATATCACCATCGCAGACAGCTCCCCTCTCTTCTTTCCCTATCTACCACCCTGTAGGCCGGGACAGGATCAGCAGACATTGCTGCGGAGCCTGTGCACTCTGTGTGTGTGTAGCAGGGAGGGGTACATTTTCGAGGCGTTGGAGAGGCTGAACCAGCGGAGGACAGACCCTCCCTGTTCTGGAGTTCGGGCCTGAAAGTGGAAGCAGACATCTTAGGGAGCAGGAGTTCATGCTGACAGGAATTTGCGCCCAAAGTGAGACTACTGTGGGCAAAGGGCTCCTCTTCTTGCTGCTTGTCCTACAGTCTTCCCTGTTGCGTGGTCCCCAAGTGAGGCTGGGGAGAAGCCACTAAAAACATCAGAAGCTTTAACCCAGAGGCCTGCCCTTCCTCAAGAGGGGACGTCGTTTACAAGTGACAGCTGTTTTTTCTTACTCTGTGCCGGAATGCAGACCACCCCTTCCCCACCTCTGTGCGAGTAAGTAGCAGGAGCAAAGAGGTGGCCTCAGAATTCCTGGCGAGACCCCACTTCTCCCTCCCCCACCACACTCACCTTGCCAATATGATCTACCCTGAAGCCATCAGTATAATCACATTATCCCTTTATCCCTGTTAATGTCAACACCACAGGAAGCCAGGGGGCTCCCAAGTCCCCTGGACGCCCCCTCTCATTAACTCCATCCCCATAAGGCTCTGTGCTCTCATCGTCTTCCCTTTGCCCTCCCCTCCCTCCTCTACTCCCCTAATATCTCCCGTGCACTCACTACTCACTGGAACGCCTGGTCTGTCAGCAGCAGAATCCCCCCCAGATTCTCAACGTGCTCTAGGAAGGTCGCAGTCACTGTCTTGCAGGAGCTGGAACCCGAATCTCCCCAAGGACATGACCACTTCCCCTCTCTCTAGTGTGGCGTTATCTCTGCTACATCCTGCAGGACATTTGGACCTGGAGATGGAGAGAGGGTTCNAAAAAAAACACAAAAAAACAAAAAACTGTAATGGGGCAGAAAGGGACATCCCAGGACTTCTAGAAAACAGCAGGGCCACAGAAGAGGAGAAGGAAGAAGGCTCCGGAGGCAGCTCAGAAAAATAGAACGCAAATGTTTGAGCATAAAGAGCACATTATTCATAAGTATATGGCAGAGACGTTGGGAAAAATTAACAATAGGTAGATGGAAAACCAAACAGACGATAAAATGAGGCAATTATTAACTTCAGAGAAAAAGAAAGCTTGGACAGGAAAAGAGGTGTGGTTGCAATGCACTACTGGGCTCAGTGAACAATATTTATATAGTTTCAATAATGTAACATTGACTATTGATTTAACAAAAAATTATATATAGCTATGTTAGGGATGGAAGAAGTAGAGTTGAGGTAAGGGAGCAATATTCTAATATTTATTCACAATGGCAGGAAGTCAATAGACAAGACTAATATAGGCAAGTCAAGAAATAGCAATATAAGCACATAATTTTTAAAGATATGGAGGCAAATATCAGTGACACTAGCTACAGAAGTTGAGGTTGGTCACCTGTAGGGCTAGGACTGAGTGTGGGAAAGTGTGGGGTAAAAAACTGCTGGTTTTTATTATAAACCTTTTAGTGCCATTTGACTTTTTAAAATGGTGTGTGTGTGTGTGTGTGTGTGTGTGTGTTTTCTTTTGATAAAAAATAAAGTTTACCTTCAAATAGCCTCACCTGTGGACATTGTTAAACGCCTTATTTCTGGGCCTGATCCTGTGAGTTTGCAATCCGGTAAGACTGCAGTGGGACTCAGGAATCTTCACTTTTCACTAGAACCTCAAGAAATTTGGGTCCAGATAGCTCATGGACGATGCTTTGAGAAACATCACTCAAATCTCCTGAAATTAAATACGAAGTAGTGTAAGAATGTGCAGTTAATTTGGAAGAGAGTGAATGATTTTCAGATTCTTTTTGATATCCCAAACCCAAAAAAGTTTAAGAGCTGCTATCTTATGTCTGCCTCCCTTCCTCCCTTCCTTCCAAGAATAACTGAGATTACATTAACTATTTAAGGTCAAAAGCAGAGCTAATGACTGTTGTAGTGAGTTAAACACTTTGGAAAACTCCTTAGTAATACAGACTAGACAGCACAGCCTACATTTGCAGTCCATTGCTTAGTATATTATATCAAGGTGAACATCCATGCATTACTACTACGGTGTATCAAATATAAACATAATGGCTTGAAAAAGTTAATGTGAATTCATTGGCATCTACCAGTGATGCTGACCAAGCTTATGGTTAAATTTTATTCAGTTAAAAACAAAACAAAACAACACTTGTATGTGGTCATTCAGCAATATCTTTAATGGTGTAAGAGTGCCACAGAAACAGTGCCAGAGTCCAGCTAGAAAATTTAATGCAGGTATTTTGACAGTCTTGTACTTTTATTCAACATTTTAGTAATTTTATGGGGCGAGCCTGCCTTTCTCACCGATTTAACCTTTCAACCTTTTAACAATTGTGCTTATGAAACATTAGAGGGGTTCATGAGTTGTGAGTTGATTAAACTGGACAGCAAAATCTGATTTCAGATTAATGTTTGGAAGAAATTCAATTTTTTTTTTTAAAGATTTTTATTGGGGTATTGGGGGGATGGGAACAGTGCTGGGGAATTGGGTGAAGGGGAACAGACAAATTGCTGTTGTTTTGTTCTTCAGTCTAGTT